AGGAGACGGTCGAGCTAGGGGACGGCTGAGGACCAGGAGACGGTCGAGCTAGGGGACGGCTGAGGACCAGGAGACGGTCGAGCTAGGGGACGGATGAGCTAGGGGACGGCCAGGCTAGGGAATGATGACCTAGAGGATGGCTGACCAAGGAGACAGATGACGTGGGAGATGGCCACACCAGGGGCGGCTGACCTGACTCCCGCATGGTGTGGAGTCAGCCTGAGTGAGAGCTGGGTGCTGCACCCTTTCCAGACATGGGTGCTAAAGAGGAGAACAAACAAATACAGCCATAAAGGACATTTGGGGAGCAATTAAAGAAATTCAATTGAGGACTGGTTGACAGTATACATGTGTGATATTATGAAACCGTTAAGTTTCATGCATGTGATAAAGGCACTGCATCTCCTCCCCTTCTCGGTGCATGTGCTTTTACATGGGAAAGTTATATAGGAAAACGTCTGTGTCCTTAGTAAGTACATCCTAAAAGTTTTAGGGATGAAGGATCATGTCTACCCATGATTCATTTAAAAACTCATAAAAGGTGACATAGATGAAGCGTCTGGCAAATGGTAACTTTGGTGAGAGGCTTGTGGGTGTTCATTGTCTTCCTCTTTCAACTTCTCCGTGGGTTTGAAATTTATCAGAGTAAGCGTGGGGAACAGGGGCCTACAGTGAGGATGGGGTTTGACCTGCCGGGAAGCAGGAAGCCGCCTCTGCCGCCCGGGATCCCCGGCCACTCCAGCAGCACAGACGACGCCTCCTGCCTCGCAGCACCTGTGAAACAAGAGCCTGGGTTTTGTTTTGTTAGAAATTTTTAAACTAGTCAAAATAACTTATATTTTTATTTAAAATGTTTATTATAGAAAATTTAGGATAATTGAGACTTTAAAAAAACACTCATAGCCCTACCTACAAGACACAAGTCGTGTTTACCTCTTTGCTTCCATCTGACTTCAAATACAAGCATCACGGCTGCCTCTTGAGTTCTGTGGCCCACCAGGGTGTGGCCTGGGCACCCCGCCACCCCACATCCAGATTCACAGCAGAACGCCAGCTCCTGTGGCTGGCCACCACCTCAGGCACGTAGCAACGGGTGGAGACTTCGCCCCTCCCAGCCCGGAAAATGGGTAGCTTGTGGGAAGGCAGCCACTGCCCCCATGACTGTTGACATCAGCCACAGGTGAAGATGTTAGTTGTGGTCCATAGTTTCTGTGGGCAAAGCCGCTTCGGGAAATCATCTGTCTCTCTCTTCTTTTGAACTGGCTTTTTCTCGTAATGACATTCTTTCTCTCGCTCCAATTTGTGGGAGAGGCGAATCCACCTGAGTCGGGGGGACACAGGTGCTCAAAGTTGAAAGAGGCAGATTCATTCATCCCCCTCCAAAAGGCTTGGGGGGCGCAGCTCCGCACGAGGCCACCCCACAGATGGGATGGACAGAGCAGCAGGGAGAGCGGCCGGGGCTACAGCTGGCCTGGGGCTCTCAGGGCCTCCCTGTCTTGTGTGCCACCATACACCTGGCTCCCTTAGTGCCTTTCAGCCATTAATGTGGCTGGTGAGACCCGAAGAGCAGATGTGACTCACCTTGGCCCTCCAAGTGGCTGTGTGCAAGGTGCGATGGACCAAGGAGGCTCCCAATGTGCTTTTCATGAGCAGCGGTTACTGATGCTAGTTCACCCCCTTTTCCGGGCACAATCAAGAAATGGCAGCTGGGTGGCACACAGGAACACTGCCAGCAGAGATCCTTTCAGGAGAGGTGGTTTCGTTCCCAGTTTTGCTGTGTCTGTCTCTGAGAGCAGGAGCCCCTCCTCTCCCGCACCCTGTTCCGTACCCGGGAGCATTCGGCAGGAAGAAGTGGGCTGAATTTCCATGAACACATGGAAGGAGAAAAGGATCAAGGAGAAAAGGATCAGGAATTACATATTTTAACGTCTTTGACTTTACACACAGGACATTGAGATGAGAGTTTTGGGGTGGTGAGGAAGAAGCTGTTTCTTTACAGTAAAAGTGAACCCGGCCGTATTTAAAACTAGGTCGGCCCAGACGCCGCCACTAGGATCTTCACACCCAGATTCCTCCGTAGGCAGTCCTGTGTGACTATTTGAAAAATAATCACGTGGCCGGGCGCGGTGGCTCAAGCCTGTAATCCCAGCACTTTGGGAGGCCGAGGTGGGTGGATCACGAGGTCAAGAGATCGAGACCATCCTGGTCAACATGGTGAAACCC